TGGAGGATAGGAGATCAGTAGGGGTCAGGTCCTGGTCACTTGCCTGTTTGACAGTTCACTCTGGCTGCAATTGAGAGTCTGTTGGAGGAATGGGGCTGGCTGCAGGGAGTTCAGAAGTTTCCTGGCCAGGGAAGGGACAAGTCCTGGACCAGGGGAATGGCTGAGGGGGTGGTGAGAAAAGGGCCTTGGGATGCAGGTAGTGAGGAGGCCAGCGTGACCAAGCTGGGTCCGCAGGGCCTGGTGACACCCCTGGAGACAGCCAGGAGCCGCCGGTTATCTGCATCAGAGGCAGAGACTGGGTGGCCTTTGCGGCGCCGGGTAACTGGAGCCGTGGGAGTGGATGGGCTGCCCCAGCCAGGAGAGCACACAGGGTAGAGGGGATGGGCTCGCCTCCCAAAGAAGCCCCTAGTTAAGACCAGGACGGAATCCATCTGGGGAAGAGGAGACGCCAAGAGCCAGGATCAGCTGAGTCCTGGGCCCGGGCATGACGCACACCGTTCTGCTTCCCTTTTTCTAGGTCTGAAGTGGAATTTCCATTCTTGGGTGGGTCATAATGCACAGGGGCCGGGGGAGGGGCGGGCCAAGGATGCATGGCTTCCGTCCCAGTGTCAGGGTGTCCTGGGAGAGGAGTGTGGAGGTGGGGAACTGGCCTGGAGTCCCACTCGCAGAGTGTCCACCTGCTGTGCCTCGGGCATCGCAGTATGGGCCCTCCTGGGACCTTTCTTCCTCCCCCACCCCCAATCATGTGTTCTACAGAAGTCGGGGGAAAGGCTGTTACCCCCTTTCACAGGTTCGGAAACCCAGGAATGGGGAGGAGCCTGAGCGGCCCCAGCCACAGAGCAAGTCAGTGGCCAAGGCAGGATGGGACAAGATGAATCCGGGCTTCTTTCTACATTTCAGCGGCCTCCTCCCTTCCTGGGGAGGTGAGGTAGATGTGGCGACTGACGGGACAGTAGAGACCCCGGTCTAGGTGGTGCACCAGCTAAGATCTGGCTTGTTGGCTGCGGACTCTGGCTTTCCACCCCCTCTGGAAGGCTTTGAATGTGGGAGCACAGACGCAGGCACACCAAGCTCCCCCAGTCCAAGCCAGGCACGATGACACAGGCCTGTAGTCCCAACTGCTCGGGAGGCTAAGATGAGAGGATCACTTGAGTCCGGGGGTTCGAGACCAGCCTGGGCGAGATAACAAAACTTCATCTTTAAGAAAAAGGGGGAGGAGCTCCCCAAATCTTTTAGAGTATAGCAAAGCTGAGAGCACTATCCCGCACCAGCTCCCACCCCAGACTCTCCAACCCCACAGGGGCTAAGCCGAGTGCAGCAGTGTCTCTACCCCATCCTATCCCCCAGTTCTTGGGCAGACCCTGGGTTAGAGAGCCCCCAGCAGCTGCACCATACTCCACATGCCTCCCCAGGGCTCTCGGGACAGAGGCTGCCCCAGACAAGTCCCAGCACGTAGGGGGTTCCTGGTCTTTCGGTATCCCCAGCAGCCTCCTAATGCATCTTCCCCCTCAGACTGGAGGCTGTAGTCTCTGAGCTATGGTGAGCTTAGCATGCGGTGGTGGTGTTGGGGGCGTGGGCAGAGGCCCTGAGTGAGGCCCAGAGATGGAAGAGGTGAGTGGACCTGAAGCCCAGTGTACCCCCATGGCGCAGCCCCTGGGCGCTCAGAAAGCGGCGTCTCTCAGGCCTCAAGCCTGCCTCCGGAAGCATGCTCTGACCCTCCCTGCACCGTGGTCAAGGCCCACAGCCCCATCTCCCTCCATCATCCCTGTACTCACAGTACCACAAGAACCGTTGGAACCCAGCTGGCGCAGGAGTCTACAGATGATCTCCAAAGGGCCAGACAGCAAGTATTTGGGGCTTCACTGGCCATATGGTCTCTGTGGCGACAACTCATTCTGCAGTTATAGTTAAAGCAGCCCTACATGGTACAGAAATGAATGAGTGTGGCCATGTCCAATACAGCTTTATTTATGGCCACTGAAATGTGACTTTCATATAATTTTCAAGTGTCACAAGATTTTTTTTGTTTTGATTTTTTTTTCTCTCCAACCATTTAAGAATGTAAAGATTATTCTTAGCTTTCAGGCTGTACCAAAATAGACAGCAGTTTGGAGATGGCAGGACTGTGGGTTATGGTTTGCCAACCCCTGGGTTAGAGCAAGCACTCTGGAGCCTGACTGCCTGGGTGTGAATTCTGGCTCTGCTGGGTGACCTTGGGTAAGTGGCTAACCCTTTCTGTGCTCCGAATTTCCTATCTGCAAAGTGGAAAATAGCTTGGCAGTTCCTCGAAAGGTGAAACATAGTTACCATATGGCCTAGTTCTACCCCAAAGTATGTACCCAAGAGAAATGAAAGCATACATTTACACACAAACTCATTCATAGAAGCATTGTTCCATGGCAACCAGAGCGGTAACAACCCAATGTCTATCAGCTGATGATTGAATGGATAAATAAAATGTAGTATATCGCTGGATGTGGTGGCTTACACCTGTCATCCCTGCACTTTGGGAGACTGAAGTGAGAGGATTGCATGAGACCAGGGGTTCAAGACCAGCCTGGGCAATCAGCCTGGGCAATATAGTGAGACTTTGTCTCTACAAAAAAAATTAGCTAGCCTTAGTGGCATGTGCCTGTTGCCCCAGCTACCTGGGAGGCTGAGGTGGAAGGATCACCTGAGCCCACGAGGTCAAGGCTGCCGTGAGCCGTGATCATTGTGATCATGCCACTGCACTCCAATCTGGGTGACAGTGAGACTCCAACTCAAACAACAACAACAAAACGTGGTGTATCTGGACAGTGGAATAGTGTTCAGCCGTAAGTAGGAATGAAGTACTGACACATGCTGCAGCTGGAGGGACCTTGGAAACATCATGCTAAGTGAAAGAAGTCAGACACAGAGGCCACACACTGGACGATTCCATTTATGTGAAATGTCTAGAATGGACAAATCCCTAGAGATGGAAAGTAGATTAGTGGTTGCCAGGACAGAGGGGCTGATGGGGGATTGACAGCTCATGAGCATGGGGGGGGTTTGTTGGGATGATGGAAATGCTTTGGAATTAGATGCAAATATACTAAAAATGGAATCCTGTCTATTAAATACTGACTTGTGTACTTTAAAAGGGTGGATTTTATGGCATGTGAATTATATCTCAATTTTTAAAATGAGGCCAGGCTCAGTGGCGCATGTCTGTAATCCCAGCACTTTGGGAGGTCAAAGCAGGAAGATTACTTGAGGCCAGGAGTTCTAGACTAGCCTGGGCAACATAGCAAGACTCCATCTCTATACACAATTAAAAAGGTAACTAAAAAAACAGTAATACTTCCTGGGGTTGCTGTTAGAGTTAATGTGTGGAAAGCACTTGTAGCAGTCATTCCCCTCACTGGTCCTGCAGGGGTCCTGGGAGGACCACCGTGTCTGTCCTATTCACACTGTCTCCAGGGCCTAGAACATATGACTTGGAGTTTCTGGAGTTCCACAGGCCAGGGATCAAGTCCTGATACCTTAGTATGCCATGTGCCTTTGGGCAAATACTTTCTTCTGCTCTGAGCCCAGGTTTCTCATCTGCAAAATGGAATAATAAAAACGACTTCATGGTGTTGTTGAGAATCAGATGATCCCTGGTGCTCAGGGTGTGTGAGGAGCTCCAAGCCCATTGCCACTTGGTCATACCTGACCAAGACTGGTCTGAGGAGGCCAAGCCTCCCCACCCCCCAACAGATATCTCCAGGGCACCAAGCAGGGCTAGGGCAGTTACTCCTGACTGTGACCATTCAACCTTTAAGACACCTCCCTCCCGCTACTATCCCACCTTCTCACAACTCCCCTCTCCCAGGCAGTGTGGGGAGGGGGAGGAGAGGGCTCCCTGTGACTGGAGGAAGAAATGCTTTGGGGCACCAGCACAGATTCCTAGATCAGCCACGCCCAGCTGTGTGACTGCAGGCTACACATTGCCCCTTTCTCTCTCTGAGCCTCAGTGTATTGAACTGTCAAATGGGTTTAGGACACAGTACTTGCCACTTCAGGTGGTTGTGATGATGTAAAGTGTTCACACAGGGCCTGCTATATTTTAAGTACTCAATACATCTCAGCTTTTATGGGAATTTATTTTTAAATGTTTATTTTGAGCCAGGCACAGTGGCTCACGCCTGTAATCCCAGCACTTTGGGAGACGGAGGGGAGAGGACTGCCTGAGCCCACAGGTTTGAGACCAGCCTGACCTCGTCTCTACAGGAAATCAAAAAAATTAGCTGGGCATGGTGGTGTGCGCCTGGAGTTCCAGCTACTTGGAAGGCTGAGACGGGAGGTTTGTCTGAGTCCAGCAGGTCGAAGGTGCGGTGGCCGTGAGTGTGCTACTGCATTCCAGCAGAGAGACTCCAACTAAAAAAAAAAAAATGTTTATTTTGAAAGTTTACTATGTACAAGGCACTATTCTCGTTACTGGGAATATAGCAGAGAATAAAACAGACAGAAATCCTTGCTTTCATGAAATTTACATTATGGTGGGGTAAGCAGACAAGAAACAAAATAAGTAAGTTATATTTAAGAATGTGACTGGGAAAATAAGACTGAGAAAGTGGGAGGGAACGTAGGGAGTTTTGGAAGGGGGTGCAGTTTCACAGAAGGTGATCTGGGATGATTCATTGAGAAAAAGACGTTTGAGCAAAGACCTGAGGAGAGGAGGGGAAAGAAGGAGCCATGTGGGTTTCTATGGGAAGAGCATCCCAGGCAGAGGAAACAGCAGCATGCCAGGCAAGTGTGCAGAACATAGAGGAGGTGAGTGTTGCCAGAGGGGAAAAAGTAGGGAGGATGAGGTCGTGGATGAAAGGCAGGTCCCCGGAGACCTGCAAGGGTGAGCCTCTTGACTCCATGAGAGACCAGGTCCCACTGTGGTACTCTGAGCAGAGCTGAGCCACCCTGACCTAGGTGATGATGACTTTTGCTATGTCGTGCCCGACTCCTCACCCTGCCTCACAGCCATGTGCTTCCTCCTGCAGGACCAGCCAGGGGCCTCCATGGGCGCCTGAGGGCCAGGCGCCAGGGCCGCGGGCACGAGCATGGTGAGACACCAGCCCCTGCAGTACTATGAGCCACAGCTGTGCCTCTCCTGCCTCACGGGTATCTACGGCTGCCGTTGGAAGCGGTACCAGCGCTCCCATGATGACACCACGCCGGTGAGCCACGTTGGGGCAGGGGCAGAGGGACCCAGTGAGCCCCAGCAAGCTTGAGGGGCTGGGACGAGGGAGCTTAGCTCTGTCTCTGCTGTGTGGCTCTGCACAGGTTTCTGGTCCTTCTGGATCTCAGGAATGAGGCCATAGTCCTCCCTGAGTCTCCTTGACCAGGAGGGCAGGGAAAGAGCTCATCCTGCCTTGGACGTAGCCAGGCGTTACCTCTCCTCTGACAGTGTGGGAGCCAGGCTGCTCCAGAGGTCTGGGCAGGGAGGGGTGCTTCAGGAGGAAAAGGTCACCCGAAGGTGAGCAGAAGTTCTCAGCTTCCTGGCAGATCCAGACAGACAGGCAAATAAGAGGAGAGGGTAAGGAGGTGGGTCCGGCCGTCCTGGAGCCTGGGAGCTGGCAGGGCCATGTCCTGGCACCAGGGCCCAGTCACCTGAGCTACAGGCCTGCCAGCGCTGGCAGCAGGTGCCCGACTGGATAAAGAAGGCCTCCTTCAGCGCTGGGCTGCCCAGGCCAGACCTGACTACACTCCTGTCTCCACGGCCCTGTCAGCTGGGGGATCTAGTTTCTTCTCCAAAGGAACCCAATTCCTGTGTGGTGTTTATCTAAAAGCTTTACTGTCTGGAGAACAACTTTCCTCCTCCCTCCTGCTTGTCTGAACAAAGAAACCAGCCTCCAAATTCAGCCAGCCCACACACAGGCTGGCATAGCCAAGCGGGGCATGGTGGAGGTCAGAGACCCAGTGGGCCAGATGTCTGGATGGGAGGTGTCAGGAAGCCTGTCACCCCTGTGCTGGGTGGGATGGAGCACTAGACCAAGTCAGGCGCCTGGACTCATGACCCCCAAGCAGAGACAGAGCTAAGCTCCCTCGACCCCCAAACAGTGAGAAGCAGGAGTCACCAGGGTGGCTACTGGGTCTGATTCATCCCCATGTCCCACTGCCAGCACAGAGCAGCCAGTGTGGCCAAACTGAAGCAAGGGAGAGAAAGGGGCCTGCCCAAGGCCCCACAGAGCAGCCCCAGGCAGTGCCGGGAAGCCCTCTGGGGACCACGTGTTGCAGGGAGTCATACAGGCTGTAGACTCCAGAGGCAAATGGACTGAGGTGTTAAGATTCCTCCTCCACTGGTGGCCTACGGGCCCCCTCACCTGAGACCTGGAGGTGACAGCCCATCCTCTTGAGGAACTGCTAGGCCTATGGCATGGAGTGAAGGGCGTGACTTCAACACCAGCCTGCTGGACTAGCTGTTGAGACAGGTCATCCCAGGCATCCCAGCCTTGGCTTCTCCATCTCTGAAATGGGAGAACGGTTGGGCTCATGACTTGGGAATTCCGTGGCCACTCCGCTTCGCTCCATGTTGCCTTTTCTCCATGGCTATGGGCAGGCAGCAGGCTGGCAGAGGGCCTCCCCTGCCCTGGCTGTCCTGTGTCAGGAAGGTTGGATGCTCAGCCATGTTGGGACCCCGTGTGTTCGGGTTCCTCCCAATAAGCTGTGAGCTATAGATGGACAAACAGAAGCTGGGCAAGAGTGACCGGGCCAAGGTCACATAACCTGTGAGGGCAGGGCCTGGATCTGGACCAGGCTGTATGTGTCCAGCAGCTGCTGGACATGGGCATGGGAATGGGGAGACAGCTGAGCCAGGGGGAAGAGAAGGATGACTGAGCTCCGACACAGATAGCCCCTCGGCCACTGGGCCAGATGCTGGAGGAAGGTGCACCTCCCAGGACGTCTCGTGTCCTCGGTGGGCCCCGGGCTGGCCACTATCGGCCGTGGAATCCAGGAGTGATGGGTCCTGGCTGCGGCCAGCACACGCCCAGGCTGAAAATGGGCCAAAGCTGGTCTCTGACTGACAGGGAGCCAGAGTGGTGGCCCCGCAGGGCCAGGATCTAGGGCCTGGAGGGGCAAGAGGCCACGAGCCAGGCTGGGAGAGGCTTCAGGGCTTTGCAGCAGCTCTGGGTGACAGCGCCTCTGCAGAAAGGACTGAGTTCACCTCAGGTGACCCCAAACGTGCAGCTGAAGATGAGCATCCACCGTGCCCCTCCCCCACCTCCCCACGGTCACTCCCCTCGCTCCTGCCCCCTTCTCCTCCCACTTCTGGGTTCTGGCCTCTGCCCCTCAACCTTTCGCTCTCCCTGTTCCCCTGAGGCAACTGGGTGAGGATGGTGACAGGGGGCCGGGCTCTCCAGCCTGGCACGGCGAAGGAACGGTGATCTGATGTCTCAAAGACAGGGCTGGTGCAGTTGAGGGGCTCACACGTTTGGCTGAACACATAGAGGTCCGCCATGAGTTCTGGAAGCCCCAGGGGGAGGAGAGCTGCTGCCTGGGCTTGGGTGGTAGAGAGGGCTCTCTGGAGGGCCCGGTACCTCTTCTCACTCCCCCTCCCGTCCCCCCGTGGGGATTCTCCCCTGCATCTCCTAACTAGAGGAGCCTGCATTCAACCCTTCTGGGAAACCTGACCTCTCTGGGTCTCATCTGTGAAATGGACTGACAGACAGGTGGGAGAGTCACAGAGGCATTTCCTTCTCATCCTTAGGCTGGCGTAGGAAACCTGAGCATAATGGTAACAGGTAACATTTATTGAGAACCTGCTGAGTGCGAGGAGCAAATGGTTTGCATGATATGCCCCGTTATTTGTTCTAACACTCCCTTGGGGCATGCTGAATCGTGTGCCCATTTTATGGTTGGAGAAATCAAGACTTAGAGCCCTGACACAGGAAGTCCTTCACAGAGTTGCTGCATGAGCCTCAGGAGCCCGGATGCTGAGGATGTGTGTGTTTAAATGGGAGTTTGCCGGAAGGACAAGAAAGAAGGAGGCTTGGCAAGTTTCCTGTTGGGGGAAAAAGAGTACTAAACCAGGAGCACTTGGGACAAGATAGGGTGTCCATCGGTGTATCCCTCGTTATGATCCAGCTCTGCAGAGTGGGGTGGGAGTGGGTGCAGAGATTTGGCCCCCCTCCTCTCCGTCCACACTGGTCTCCCTCCTTCCTGCCCACCAGCCTGACACATTCCCACCTCTTTTAAGCCTTTGCCCACACTGCTGTCTGCCCCCAGGACACATCTTGACAAATAAGAGAGCAGGACACTGAGGACCAGAGAGGTGAAATGGCCTCTTCTCCTGCCCCTAGCACCGAGGAGTAGAGGGGTCCCACAGCAGGAGGCCAGGCTCACTCGACAGCCAGGAAGGGGAAGTGGAGCTTTTTATAACCAGGGATAATTAATTGGCTGTTGTCTGTGACTCATTACTCTAATACTGCCAATTAAAGTCTTGGTAGGATAGAAGACAGTGCAAGGCCCATCCCCGCAGGGTCCCCTGAAGACTGTGTGTCTGTGGAAGGCAGCACAGTGACAGAACTGTGTCAAAACCAGCCTTTCTAGTGTGAGGGATATAGGTCAGATGCCTGGAGGAACTTCCCAGCCAGAGACACTGAAGGAGACAGACTATAATAGTCAACTCCTTGCACTTCTGTAGTACCTCTGCCTTTTGAAGGCTGTTATCATCTTAATTGATCCCCCCTATCTTTTTTCTTTTTTCTTTTGAGTTGGAGTCTCACTCTGTTGCCCAGACTGGAGTGCAGTGGCATGCTCCCAACCACCTCAGCCTCGACCTGCTGGGCTCCGGCAATCCTTCTGCCTCAGCCTTCCAAGTAGCTGGAACTACAGGCGTGCGATACCACGCCCGACTGGTTTTTGATTTATTGTAGAGACGAGGTCTCGCCAAGTTGTCCGGGTGGGTCTCGAACCCGTGGACTCTGGCAATCCACTCGCCTCGGCCTCCCAAAGTGTTGGAATTACAGGCCAAGCCACCGAGCCTGGCCGATCCCCTCTATCTTACAGATAAGAGCTCCAAGAAGAATAAGTGATTGATTGATTCAAGCTGGAAGGCTAAAGCACCCCGCCCCCTGCTCACACCCTCAGGGTTGTCCCCTCTACCCTGACCCACACCAATCTGTCTCAGTTGGGGTGCACTGGTTACTGATTCAATCAACAAACCTGTCCTGCCACGACTCTGGACCCTAGGATCATAGCATATCAGACCAGGTTCCCCCTTCCCTTGAAGGGCTCCCGGGCTGGTGGGGGAGCAAACAAGAATGACACACCCAGACCACCCAGGGTGATCACTGGGGAGGCCCAGGAGACCCAGGGGCGGGGCAAGCTTGCCTGTGCTGGCCCCTGAGAGGGTTAGCCCTGTCTCGCCAGAGCAGGGGGAACTGAGTGTGCAAGAGAGCGTCTTGTGTTTGGGAAATGGAAGTGGCTGAGCCTGGGGTGGCTCAGGTGTGAGAGGGGAAGGGTGTTGCCAGGTGGGCCCGAGCCATGAAGCTGCACTGAAGAGCCAGGCTTCATCCTGGGACGGGAGCCCAAGTCAGGCCCGGGCTGGGTAGCAACCACTGCACTCAGACTGAGGGCCCTTGGGTGGAGGTGGGAGGGCCAGGAGTCAGACGAGAGAGTCAAGGATGGACAAGCTAGGGCAGGGACACCAGGGCCACCTAGAAGATATTGTCAGCAACCCAACTATGGATTGAGATGGAGAGGAAGGCGTCTCTGAGGGGAACTCCCATCATCCTCCGACTCCTAGCCTGGATAGAGTGAGTGAGAGGAAGGTGGTCTCGGTAGAGTCCAGAAATAGCACAATGGGAACTGGAAGTGGGGGTGAGTGGAAAAGACAGATAAGCCTCCCCGACCCCAGCTGCCTCCCTCCTATGGTAGGCTATGATGGGAGACCTCTCCTGTCACCTGGCCATGGCATAAAGACACCTGCTCTGAGGGAATCCATCCCTCCTCTTCTGCCCTTCCCCTCCCCGCCAGCCATGCCCGCCACACCAGTCACACCGAGCTTCTCCCCATTCCCAGATTAGCCTTGGCCTTCATAGCACTGGGCCTTTGCTCTTGCTGTTCCCTCTGTCTGGAATGCTCTTTCTCTCTCTTCTTTGCCTCTTAAGACTCATTGCAAATGTGCCTCTGCCCCTCATATCCACCAAACAAGTCAGCCTTCCTCTCCAACTCT